CTTTTTTCTTTGCTTTATTATTTAACAAAATATACAACGCAAAACTTATTGGCTATCCAATATAAACAAAATACATACATTGTAGGTGTGTATGTATGTACATTTATGCCTCGCCTATTGATGACAGATTGGAAAGTAATTTGGCAGCTTCAACAATATGGTCAGTTATTAATAGTTCCAACTGACGAAATATTTAATTCAATAAAACTGAAATATTTTTATCTGACTTTCTGAAAGAAAGCTAAGACTAAAGTAGACAACCGAATTCAATTCTCATATAAAGGTTTAGGTATACCGTTCATTTCTTCACGATCCAATTATCGGATCTAAACAAAATTAGTACGGGACCACACTTAAGTTACCACCTTAGCGATGAAAGAATCGAAATCGGTTAACGTGGTCCAAAGTTATGCGGTAGCCTACATAAAAAAAATAAAATATATTCCGACGAGTTGATAATCTTCTGCTTTTTTGAAGTCGGTTAATAATTTCAGAGCTGACGCAGAAAAATAATATTCTGTGAACACATATGTATGTATGTATGTGTATGAATTTTTGATATTTCCAAGAATGCTTTTCATTACGCAACTCGTCTAGTTCTAAATGGTTTTAGTCATATGTGGGTATTTACTTTTGAATTTCGCAAATCCCATTATAATCCGCTTATATATTTATTTTGGCATTATTCTTGCAATTAGCAATTATTCAAAAAATCTCGATTAGCCTGCGAAAAGTGAAAATTCACTCTTAGTATGTGCTCAAAATCAAAAAAGGTTGACATCACGATGTATGAGTAATATATTTGAACCAGCAAAAGTAAGGCCTACATAAATAAATACATTAAAGCGCTGCAAATGAAAATGTTTTCCGCTCTTAGACAGGAGATAAAAAGCTAATTTGGTATTTATATACATGCATACAAATATTATGTAACATTCTAATGCAGAAGAGCAGTACATACATACATAAATACATACATACGTACTATTAAAGGTATTTTGAAGAACTAGTGTGCCCACACGACGTTAAAACGCCCAAAATTGAGTTGCAAAAACTTAAAAAATATTCCAAATGTTTGTCAGAGTTATAAATTTCAAATGACTCTGTACCGATGAAAAAAGTTCGTAATTAAAAAAAAATAATAATAAAACTTAATCACACATCTTTAATTTGACCTCTCAATTACGAAATTCCTTTTCAAAAGTATTCTCAAACTAAAATCTTCTTAAATCTCTTACGTCTGACATCTGGGTACCACACCCATGTATTTCAATAAACTGATGAACTATTTTTAATTTGATTGTTCGAACAATTAGTTCAGAAATAAAAAAATTTCAAACATACTTCGATTGTTATCCATATTTTAATAATTCATTTAACTTATTAAAGAATTTAAATTTAATTTTGAAATAGATAGGTGGCAACCCTCCAGCACCTCAAAAATATTCTTAGCATTCAAACTAAAGTTTTCTTAATAACGCGTTTGATATCCATATTTTGTTATTTTTTATATAACTTGTGTATAAGTAAACTAAATTCATCATTTCAAGCAGGTGGCAACCCTCTTCAAAATATTTTCAAACTTTCTGGAACCTCTTTCGTTTGGCACCCACATGGTGATTTATATTTCTCTTACCTTATATATTTTTTAAAAAGGTGGCAACCCTCCTATAGTTCAGCTAAGAAACAAGGCCTTTTAAAATCATTTCGATCGATATCCATTTTGTAATAATTGATTTACTCTTTTAAAGAATTTGAATATAATTTTTTCAAAGGTGGCTACTCTCGATTCGAAAAACTAAAACCAGTTTGCACATCGACAGACCAACCGCTTTAATTTGACATCTCTCTTTTGAAAATCGGGCGAACGGTACAGATCATTTGTCTTGGACGCGTATTATATATGTATGTGTATACATAGATTAGCCTTTTCTTAGAATTCACATTAGAATGTGAAATTTTATTTATGCTCTTTTAGCACGTATTTTTCTTCTGGAATAATTGCTAATTGAAATATGTAAATACGCGAAGCCAAGTCAGTTTAGGTATGTTACTCATACGCACTGACAAGCTGAGTAGGCGTAGCACATTTAACTCGATACATACATATGTATGTACGTATGTATTTACATATGTACATATTTCTATTGCTTTATAATAACAATGATAGTGCATTCGATTAGTTTAAAAACCGATGTCAAATATTTTCTATTGCTGGCTTCAGTGAAGCTTAATTGCATTTTGTAATACTCGTGAAGTCTTAAAAACCCGTAAATTTAGTGTCAATTCCGTAAAAATTCAAAAGCATTTTAAAGGGTTAATAAATGGAAGATTTTCGTGGACACGCAATTTCATGAAACTTTAAAAAGCCATTTTGTTTTGCTTGAATTTGACTGCTGCAATGCGACCTAATCCATCTAGCTGGCCCCTAACTCTTCACAACATTTCTTCTAGGCCTTAGGTCCCCAGAAACCTCACTAGGCCTTTTAAAATAGTGATAGAATGTGATAAGTGCATGGGCATTATCTTCAAAGCTCCACAACACGCGAGGATCACAGAAGAATACTCCGAAGCTAAAACTTGGTTGAAGCTCAATACCTATGAGAATTATAGGTACATACATAATTCTGTGCGATTAAGCAGCATTGACCAACTAAGGTTGAACCACTTGAACTGTCAGCATTTATTAGTAGAACGAATAGTATCTTTGGCTGTCATGGTTTGGGATACAGTTCATCGAGGTCGCAGTGCCCTTTGTGTGTTTTGGTGTAACCAAATTCACCAAGCATCTAACTAACTAAATATATTTTATAAACTTTACCAAATACCCCAAAGCGGACCTGGGTGAGATAATGGAGTTCATATCAAAGTTAAAATGGCGATTTTTAGTTATTTCTTTGCCTGCATTATGAAGAAAGGTAGAGGAAGCAGAGATGTACTTGTACAGGGAAACTATTGTCCAGCACGTGTCTGATAACCACGGCTATCTACATATGTATGCAAGTGCTTGAAAATGCTTAGTTTGCACATATCTGGCTTTTTTTTTGGTTTTTGCATATATTCGACTTACTTATTTTTGCATACTTGGCAACATTTCATACATTTACGTGGAAAAAGAGACGATGGAAATGGGTGAAACAAGGCGAATTCATACATATGTTTTTATACTTAAAATAATTCGCCTTGATACAATGCAAGTACACTGCTAGAGCTTGAAGAAATCCGAACAGATTTGGCTTCACTAAGTCAAGTTTTGGCTGTTTGATAGTAGGTATAACAAAGCTTCAAACAATAGGTTTGACATTGAAAGAAAGTTTGGAAATTGTGACAAGTGACTTTAAAGTATTTTGGCCAGAAGCTATGGCTATACCACAATAGCAAAATCGATAACAATATCAATAAAAATTTCGATAACAATCGATAAAAATATCGATAACGAAACCGATCAAAATATCGATTATGATATTGGTGAGTCACGAGAATCCCGAAATTCTAAAATCCCAAAATAGTTCCCAGATTGAGTTGAGACCAATGTCTTTTTCTAAGTGTTATTCTTTAACCTTTTATTTGAAAGTTTTTATTAAATTAATACCATGTGCATACACTCAAGTTTCAGCTACAACAATTTCCGTAGCACCATTTCCGTTGCATCATTTCCGTGTGCAATTTCCGTTGAATTTGCCAATTTACTCCCAGCCAACCAACCGCCGCTAAAGAAGTTTCACTTCAAAAATTAGATAAAACTTCACTTATTTTTCATATTTAAAGCATATTTTTGTTTCTGACATATTTTTGCCATCGAGCTACCATAAGTAGGCATTCAATTTTTCAATCATCAGAAGCAATGTAGCAATGAAGCATTAAAATTATGTACATATATACATATATATAACCATCCTTGCCTACCCATTCGTAAAAAATAATGCGGTGTTATTAATTTATTTTAGGGTAAACAAAAAAAAAAAACAAAAGAGAGGGGAAAAGTAAAGATTAAGCAATAGAGGAATATACGCCACAGCAGGACACAAAAATTTTGATTACGGTACAAATAAACACAAACTAGCAAACAAAAAGCGATTCAAATAACTATGGTACGTTTTCATAAGTTCAGGATCGGAGCCAGGCACGAAAAAACCATACGTTTTTTTTCGAAATACGTTGGCCGCTTCGCAGGCAATGGCAAAACTAATAACAATTTAGTAACTCACTGTAGTTATTTAAATACTCTTCTTTAGTAAGAACATGTCTATGTTTGCACGTTTAGCTAAATTCATTTTAACCGACAATCACATTTTCCTACATAGTTAAAGTCTCTTCCTTTTTCACTTACAGATCACGTCCCAGCGCGCTTGTAAGCCATAAACTTTCGCAAAAGTTCACGTACAATATGGCCGCCATATACCGCTCCAGCAATCAGCTATTGTCAATAAAAGTAAAAAATGAGAAAACGTGTAAATTTGTGATGAATTTGGCACTTTCCTTGCGAGTGTTGAAATTTGACCGATTGCAATTGGAAAAACTGTCAGCAAGAAAAGAAAAAAATGCATGCGCGAAAAGGGCGCCGAAGCATCACTTCAACAACTTGTTTGTGAAGGTTAAACCAACAATAAAAAAATTCAACAATAACAACAACAATAAAGAGCGCAAAAGCACATCTAAGATAATGCAATCCCATTTTACAAGTTGTAAAGAACATGACACCACGTTAAAGCTTGAAAAATGGCACATGTTGAGATGAAAACAACTCAATAGTAAGCAAGAAATAAACAAAACTGCATACAAAAATTGTATATTTAAACAAACAGCAAAGGAGAAGCCTTTAAATGTAGAAAAGTGAGCGACTCCAAATGGCATGCACGTGTGTAAACAATCTACGTGAAATATCCTTAGAGCTAACAAAGCAACATAGTAGATACATACATACATTTTGTAAATAAGTACTCAGCGGCGCTGATCATACCGCCATAAAGTGCCAATTGAAATTCTTGTTCAAACTAATTTGCAAAACCAAGCGCTTCCGCCCGCTTCAGTGAATCGCATAGTTGCTTAAAGTGGCCAAAAACGAATAGCAGTTGCCAGAGATCAACAAAAATCGAGCATATTATAAAAGCCAATTGAACCAAAAAAAAACAACAAGTCACCAATTAGCAGCTTTTTAAGTTTTCATTAACCATAAAAAGTATATCCTCCAGAGCTGCTTTCTTCCTACAGTCGGCACCTACTACATTCGTCCCTTCAACATGTCCGAGTTTCGTTTCTTCTCATTCACCGATTTCCAATACCGCGCCAATGACTCAACGCTCTTCACGTTGCCCATCACGCTTTCGACAAAGAGCACACCGGCCGACAATGAGATGTCCGATGACTTGAATGTGCCGTACATGGTTTTCGAGATATTAGTTGCCATTTTTGCCGTTGTCGGTAATTTTATGGTAATTGTGGTTTTTCAACGCGAACGCAAACTTCGTCGTCGTACAAATTATTATATAGTTTCTTTGGCGATGGCAGACTTTCTGGTCGGCTCGCTGGGTGTGCCATTTGCGGTGCTGGCATCGGTGGGTTTGCCAAGAGATTTGTATACCTGCCTCTTCACCGTTTCACTGTTGGTGGTGTTGTGCACAATTTCCATTTTCTGCTTGGTGGCCGTATCGGTGGATCGTTATTGGGCCATACTATATCCGATGGCATATTCGCGAAATGTGCGCACGCGTACGGCAATTGGTGAGTAC